TATTAGGGTACAGTTTATATATAGTCTAGGCTCTAAACAGTTAAATTAGAGCCTACCATTAAATGGTGTCGAGAAATATGGTTTCAATTCTAGAATCTTTTTGATAGCCTTAAAAAATATTTTCATATTTATTTATAAAGTTTAAAGCTTCAAAAATAATGTAGATCGAGATATTTAAAAAAATTTGAAAATATTGAAAATTGACGGTCCAAAAATGCTTTGTAAAATACATTATTTCCAAAGCTTGAAATTTTTTTCTTTTTTTTTCGTGTCCCTGTATCTTGATGTCGAGATGATGAATTGGAAGATATTTGAGCATCAAAACATCCTCTTGAAGTGAATTATTAAGGTAGGCTCTAATTTGATTGGTTTGAGCCTCGGCTCAATATAAACTTTTACCCTTTTTGTTAACTTTTTCCCTCTCTCCTATGATGTCACTCTAGATATTCTCTCATGGAGCAGTTGTGGTTAGGTAGGTGGCATTTGTCATTATAACAATGCTTATACCCTTCCTCTCTCTCAAGAAAACTTTCATGCCCTTTCCCGTTTTAAGGAACTGAAATCCCCATCCCTTCGCTTCGGCTCTACTTTCTCTCTCTAAAAAACCATATCTCCGCTCCTCTCTCCTCAGTTTCTCTCTCTCTACTAAAAAAAAACACCTTAAATCCCGATGGCTGCTGCTGATTCTCTCTCTAAAACGGAGGCTCTCGACGCGCCTCTCCACGCCATAGGTTTCGAGATCGACGAGGTCACGCCCCAAAAGCTCACCGGCCGCCTCAAGGTTACCCAAAAATGCTGCCAGGTAAGCCATAATTTCACTCTTGCCCCTCTGAATTTTGGGTAAAATTTGCCCTTTTTCTCCATCGAAATTTCAGCTAATTGTTTCCGTGAAATCTCAGCCGTTCAAGGTCTTACATGGAGGGATATCGGCGCTCATCGCCGAGGCCTTGGCGAGCATCGGCACCCACCTAGCCTCAGGTTTCAGGCGAATAGCAGGGATCCAGCTGAGCACCAATCATATCAAGACAGCTGGTCTCGGTGATGAAGTCGTGGCGGAAGCTAAGCCAGTCAGCGTGGGCAAAAGCGTCCAGGTCAGCTCTCGCCCGCCCTCTCTCTCTCTCTGGCATTAACACAGGAGTTTTGGTCTCTTCTGCTTCTACACGCGGATCTGGTTAACCGATATCCGGGCCTCCGATATTGGACCTCTAAAATACGATCTGGTCCCACGATTGGACCCAACAGGGTATGGGTCGACTGAGCTCGGTGAGATCTTTAGGATTTAGTCAGGTGGGGTCTCAGTTGGGGAGGAAATTGGTCCAATCAGACCTAACAATGGGTCGGGTCTTTGAGTCCAATTAAGACCCAACTAGGTTAGGGTTAGACAGGGTTTTTCAGATTCCGGATCAATCAGGATTCAATCAATGGGTCCGAGTCGCGTTGAGGCGGTCCGCACCGGACCTATTTACGCTGGTCTCAGGTCCCAACCCCCTCACTCCGAAGTAGCTCTCTCTTTGAACGCTCTTATCTTTTTGCCGGACGGCCTGGATTTCTTGTCACAGGGTAATTTGGACTTCACCTTTTAGGTCCTATCCTCTTAGTGTTCTGATTTTTATGGGGGATCCATGTGCTATGTATATTTCTACAAATGGGACCGTATGGGAAAATCTTAACGTTGTTTTTTTCAAAGCCAAGCCTGCATATCGTAGCATTCCGGGTTTGGCAAATAATACATTTTTTAAATATAATTTGATCTTGATTTTTAGAGGATATATAATCTTTAATATGGGATCATGAATATGAAAATATATATATATTATTATTTTAAAAAAACATTTAGACTTGTACTTGCTTTTTGGTGGACCACTTATTTGCATCCAAGATGCTTTATACCTTTGGACAACATATTGTAGCAATGCAGTCTAGGCCGCATAAAACAATTATTTTTTTTTTTTAATATAACAAAATCCTTATGTTCATAATAACACCATGATCACAAGGTTATCATGGTCTTGTCAATTGGTTGTACGGTGATTAAGGTTCCACGAAAAACTCATAAATTCATGTGTAGTTCATCTCTCGCCCGCCACCATATATGCTATTCATGACAAGGGTGATTTCCATAAGATTTATGATGGTATTGTGAACATATCCTATTCATGACACGGGTGATTTCCATAAGGTTTATGATGGTATTGTGATTATAGGTTTATGATGGTATTGTGACTATAGGTTTAAAAATCACCGATTCAATTTGAAACCGAGCTATTTGGATCGCGTATCGATGATACCACTCCAGATTCACTCACGTAACTTTTGGCCTTCTTTTCTGACTGTGCCGTGTGGCGTAATTTTTTGTGTTTTTTTCTGGATGTGCCAGGTGGCTATTTTGTCTTTTATGCTGATGCAAACAATATTTTTGTCTCCTATGCCTTTTATACCACGTGGCCTTGCAACATGCTCTTTGTAAGTATGATATTTATTTATTTTTTTAATTTTATTATAATATAATTATAAATTTCTGTTTTTAAAATCTATATTTTTGTTGATTTTTTTATTTGTAAGGGTCACACTTTTGTTTTTTTAATCATGTTTATTACAATATTATAATTAATAATTATACATTGATAATTAAATCTAGTATTTTATTTTTTTATTTATTTACATTATAAATTATATAATATATTATTTTTATAGTAAGGATACTATGAGACCCTCCCACATCCATGTGAGTAAGACCCCAAAGGATCACTATTAAATTTTGACACAGATCTCTAAAAAAATTATTAATAAACCCATTCACCTAAGTACCACAACCATGTGACAACTTTTCTAGTGATCTGTATCGAAATTTAATAGTGATCATTTGGGATCCTACTCACATGGGTGTAAGAGGGATTCATAGTGTCATTACTCTTATTTTTATTATAGTTGTAAATAAATAAAAAATAAAAATTAAATGATATATAAGACAAATTTTAAATTTATTCATATATAGAAAGAAGATCTCAATATTCCCATATTGATGCAAAAAAATGAAAGTTCTTAATATAGTACCCCCATTTCTTATTGGATTCCTAAATAGTAACATGTATAATGATTTTTAATATTTTTTTTGGATTTTTTTAAAACCAAATCCGATTGATTCAACTGATTCCCGAATCGACATGTCAATCCACATATCCAGACGCGTTTTTGGTGTGCCCGATCCGGGGCACCCATCCGTTTTTTAAACCACCGACGTGACCAAAATTGGATTGGCCGGCGAACTGATTGGGGATGTAATTGCTATTAGATTTAATCTTAAAAAATTGAGAATAATAGTTTATAATTGTGATACATTATAAAAATAATTTAGTTGGTCCAAAAGGTTAGAAAATTTAGACAACAAAAACTAATCAAGCAATCAGTTTTCAACTAAGCCCAAAAACTGCAAAGACCAAGGCATTAGGTAGCAATCCGACCGTTGGCCCAGTGGACGATTCCAATCTTAATAACACTAATTCTTTTTAGTGTTATCAGAAATACACTAGCCACTTAACCGGTTAAAGATCTGGTCCCCCCCAAAATCAGCCCGATTGGCTATCAAAGCATTTGAACTGAACTTCTAATAAACAAAGTAAATATAAAAATAATAGCATATCAAAAACAAATTCCAATCTTATTTAGCTAGTTCGATATATTAGAAACAATTGTTCACACCAATCAAACATCAATTTTCAACCCAACCTAATATTTCCTCTAGACCATATCTGCCCGAACTCTAGTTAACTATCCAATTGATTAGACCGGCCAATCCGTTCCCGTCTAGAACAACTCATGTGTATGCTCACCAACCTTCCTCTGAATAATGCTATCAGGGATTACCATGCTTTTTCAGCTTCCTTTAATGTAGACCTTTCACTTTTATCCAGTCTCCTATTTCGGTGTTAGCCCTAGAGAGGTTTAGGGCATTCAATCCCAAATGCCAACTCACAGACTGGTGTGGTTATGGCTATTTTTTTTTTCTTTTTTTATATGTCAATGGTGGGAATGTAATGTTGGAGCATCTATCCCCAACCACCTATGCCCCAACCGCGTTCCCGGTGTCCGTTCGCTATAATACAAGAAAGTAGGTCATGATCCTCATGACCCTGGGCATTGGGTCGTGAAGTGTGATCACTCATCACTTATTGTTCAATGATCATGACCCTCATGACCACTGGACAATCCTGATGGCATCTGACCACTCAACATGGTATAATGGATTCTAAGGTGGAACTGTTTCTGATGGATAGATCGTGGCATTGCCTTCTGATCTTTCCCCTTGTGCACACGCATGAGAGAGAGAAAGAGAGCATTGTCCTTTGTCTCAGTGTAAGAGAGAATGTCCGATGGATAACATGCAAATTGCGACAATTTGCATGGTTTCCCTTCGTAGTGTGAGAGAGTGTGTGAAATAGGTAATATACCTTTGTTTTTTGCATGTCTTTGAAAGAGCACTGTTGGACAGATATTGTGCAGCCTTATGCATCCAGGCAGGTACGCATTAGAGTGCATGAGAGAGATTGGAGAACGGCAATTCTCATTATGTCTTATTGAACAAGCCTTCTATACTTCCTCTAGTTATATATTTTCCCTTATCTAGCCGATAGATCTGAATGAATGGCCGGATAAGGAAAAATATATAACTAAGGGGAGCATAGAAAGCTTGCTCAATAAGACACAATGAGAATTGTCATTTCTCCAATCTACATGAATACATTACGCTGCACATTATCCGTCTCTCCTTCACAGGCATGCAAAAGAAGACAAGGTACATTATCTATCTCACACTCTCTCTCACACTACAAAAGGAAACCATGCAAATTGTCCTTCTAACAATTTGCACGTTCTCCAACTAATTTGTCAAATAAAAATAAAATACTCTGAGACGGTGGATATATAAATAAATTATTTAATCTAAATTGAATGGCTAGATGGGGGAAGTATAGAACTTCTATACAATAACCCTTTCCGTATTCAATAAGGGCAATTATCATCGTCTTATTCAGTAATAGAGTGCCATGTTGACTAACAATGGTTCTTGAAAAGGTATGGGAAGTGAAGCTATGGAGACTGGATCCTTCATCCTCAGGTGGGAAAGTCCTGATATCCTTATCAAGAGTAACTCTATTATGCAACTTGCCAGTGCCAGATAATGCATCAGATGCTGGAGATGCTCTCAAGAAATATGCCAAGCTCTGAATATTTTTTCTTCTCTTCTTTGAAAATAATTAAGCTTTGAACATTTGGACCCGAAATGAATGATACAAATGCTTCATGTTAAACCCTATCCATGGAGCTGCTGCAATGTATAATGAAGGATGAAATTGAGTTTTGGATAGTCACATTCCAACTAGATCAAATGCTTCAATAAGTCTTTCAAAAGACAGTATTACATGCACCAATGGTGTATGTTATATGTAATGCGGTTACCCCCTCATCCGCTCCTGATGACAGCAGTGGAGATTGAGTGTAGCTCGGCGTCCGCGACTGCCTGATCATCAGAACCGCAGCCAATCGATCACTATATGTTATTTGGGAATGGATGGTGGATGATCCCATGATGTAAAAATTGGTGTATTCTTATTTTTCCCTTTTTGAATATTAATTTAAGACCTGAAGAAGAATAGAACTCAAGATGTCGTGTTATGGAACCAACCAACCTAACCACTTTTGCCTAGAGCCCGCTCTCATGTAATTGGTGAGTAGTACATGTTCCCTCTGACGTACCCCTTCGGCCTTCGGCTTTGTAATCATTTGAAAGAAACAGGAGATAGTATTCATTGGTTTACACCGGGCACCCCATTTTTCAGTAACAAAAGTCCAAAGCACTACATTTAATCTGCTGCTGCTCTGATAACCTAGTTTTTATTTGGCCCCTTTTATAGCATACCATCTTTCTCCCAAATAAATACAAATTTTATGGAAATAGGAGGAAACATTCCAAGTTTAATAATTTGCGAAATAATTGTCTTTGGAAAATGAGAGAGAGAAAGAAGATTTCAGAAAGGGAAATCTCGACAGATGAATGGCATCACCCACTCAAATCTTGTTTTTTAGCTGTAGAAGTCAAATATTCCAGGGTCATCTCATGGATCAGGAAAAAAATTTATTTACATTCAACTAAATTTGAACTTATTTTGGCAAGTTCTAAAGATAATGAATCAATGATCAAACAGTGGGAAGACATTCAAATAGAGACACATATGTCACAATGGAAAAATCAATGAAATCTAGACATCTTGGGAGAAGAAGGTTCATCCAGTATTTCAATACAAAAAAATGTTCTGCAGTTCTTCCACTTCTAACTGTTACACATTCCATATGAAGGTCTCATGTCAGTTAATCATAGGATTATCCCTTCTACTTATATCCCGTGCCTTATTCCGTCTTTCTTTCTTCCCAAACAGGTTCCCAGATAACCTTTGCCTTCAAAAGATCACAATACAATGATTAATTTCCAAAGCCAAAATGAAGCCCAACACATATGCGAGTCTTTATGCCCTTCATTTTGGCCAAAATCAGTAGAGTTCCCCTAGATTTTGGCAAAAATCAGCAGAATTCAGAGTTTTTCTTCTCCTTCCAAATGGTGTTTTCATATGTTGAATCAGCCAAATTTCCCAAATCTGTTTTTTTTTTAATTGACTTTTTCTCCCCAATAACCAATTGATAATACCAACTCTAAAACTGAAGTTTTGAGCATAACTAAAAGTACACTCCAAATGGTTAATTGGATTTTATATTTATACCTGAGATTGCTAAGTTGCTGAGTCAAATCATTAATCTCCAGCCCAGAAAGTTTAAGGGAAGATAAGGTTCCTGGTACCTCTTTTGACACTACATTGGATAATTTATCCATTGACACTGAAAGCCTCCTAAAAGCCTGAATATGTAAGACGAACTTCAAATTTCACTCTGAAGTTTGAACTCAGAAGGTCAAGAGATTGACAATGGAAACCAAACGTGTTACTTACATTCATAGCTGGAAGGGAAATGATTGCCACTGAAAGAAAAGCGCCCATGGCCTGTAAAATTTTTAAACCATGAAAAAATTAAACTGGGAGGTCCAAAGAATACTCTGTTTTTCCTTTTTAATCACTAGCAAAAGGGACCATTCCTATTCATTAACTAATTAAATTATCACTTGCCAGAAATAAGAAACATCTGTAACTTGGTACAGACTACAGAGGAAACTGTTATACGGATAATACATTCACAGAGAGGCATTGCACATGCAATTTTTTCTGTAATTGGGGTATTATACTCAACTCCATGAGTCAAACATTCTTCTCAAAGATGATCCAAGCTAGCCAAACAGTTCAATTCTTATAGTTAAAAAAATCTATGAATAATCGAAGGGATGGAGTTCACAAATGATTGTAGTGATTGTACAGCAACCAGGAGAGAGAATCCCCCTATTCACCAATGTCCATACATCCTTCTCAAAGATGATCCAAGCAAGCAAATTATTTTATTGTTATAGTTAAACTTTTATTGAGGAATGATGCAAGCAATTGTAATACTCCGGTATTGCAACTCAGAGAGAATTCCTTCCACTAACAAGGCCCGCATTAGGCAGCTTCATCAGCCTATCCACATGTTGGAAATAGGAAGACTATCTCCAAGCTTAAAACCATGGGAATATCTTGAGAACACATCAGCAAGCTTCAATAGAATAAAGGGTAAGAAGCACGACCCATACTAATCGCATCAAAGAATTCCAATCCATAGGATATAATCCCATGAATGTCTCATAAGCTCGCAATCGATCAAAAGCTGGTTCACCTTCTCTACCAAAATTCGGAGACCATAAGTCACAGTTCAAGAGGTGGTTACCTGTAAATACTTTTACCCACTAGGAAATAATTATCCAAAAAGCCACCACCTATAAAGGAGAAAGGTCCTGCCACACTGATCACTTTGCAAAATTACCTATCTTAGTTGCACAAGGCTCTATAAAATGACCTGAAAATGTATTCCACCTGATTATACCTATCCAAAGCCTCTCCCCTCCAAGCATAGAGTGCCACTGTTCAAAGAGATCCTCATTGATGCCTCAACCTACAAGAATTTCCTTTACAAGGAGCCAAATTCTAAGGAAAATCTCACGTACAGAAAATGAAAATGACTATGGGGAACACAATTCCCAATGCCTCACACTAACTCTTAAGTATCTCTAAATCCACACCGCCCCATGTTCAAAACTCTTATCTGGAATATCATTATTAACTAACAAAATATTATAAGAACTAAGAACAAAAACTATTCAACAAGGGATACTAAAACATCATAAAACGTAGAACATCATCTGCAAACCAGGAATAAAAACCCATTTCCCAACTTCAGAGATTTGAAGTTGGAGCATCAACTGTCTGGCTATTTTAGTTGTGAGCCATCCAACCAGGCATAGAAACCCCGTTTCCCTACTTCAGATATTTGAAGTTGGAGCATCAACTGTCTGGCTATTTTAGTTGTGCGCAATCCACACCCCACATAACCCTGCGACAGCCCATTCAAGACCAAGTTACCCCTAAACGGGAACTTGATAAGGGAAGATGATTGCCGCAATCACCCCCAATGCTCTCATGGAAAGAACCTTGGACATGTTTACGTGGCTCCAAACCAAATTGTATCAGTACAGAATTGTCAATACTGTCCGACCCTTATGTAATTTTTCTTTCTTTTCTTTTGAGAAAAAGGAAGATTTCTGACCCTTGCAATTTTGAGACATGATTAACCAAACTAACCTTTCACTACCAAATAACTCCTCAAATACTTCCATTGAATCACCTTTACTGATAAAAGTAAAAGTTACTTTAACTTGATCATTCTATGCTTAATTGCTTTGCCTACATCCTTAGTTTACCATATCTCAATTTGGCATAGTTTCAATTGAGTTCTCCTTTGGATGTTGCACCCAATGCATTAAACTACCCCAAAAATCAAACACATCTTGTCCACTTCAAATCTGTGTTCTAACTGTGTCTCCAATCCTGCGAGGCAGGCTCAACAAGTTCAGCACATTGAAGCGTTCTTATCTCCTTTGCTCCCCATGTACAGAATGCCTCAAAAAGTTCAGCACATTGGAGCATTCTTATCTTGTTTGCTCCCATATATAGAAGCTATGCAGGTTCCACTCCCCTCGTCGTCAAAATTTTTCACATTCGAAAACAAAACAAAACAAAAAAAAACTTCTTATAAAAATCCACTCCATCTTCAGGATCATCTGTCACCTATCCTTTTAGAGATGAAATGAGATTATGCATCCTCTCATTCCCCAAACACTAGAAATATCATAGTTACTTGAAGCGCCTAAACAGGATTTGAAGCTTTTAAACCTCAGGTGAGACAAATGTGTAATTTTTTGTGAAGCGCTTTTTAGATGGGGAAGCAGTTGTAAAGAGTTAAAAAAACAATAAGTGAAGTGCCAAAAAACTCATTATGACAATTTAAAATAATAATTGTAAAGCGGTCGAAATAAATAAGAGAAGTGATTGTGAAAAGCTTCTGAAACAAAATTGAAGAGGGAAGCAAATGTGAAGCGCCATTTGGAGAAAAACAAGCCTTTAAAAGAGAGAAAATATCATAACCATATTGAAGAAAAAGGGATAAAAAAATAGATTAAGAGGGAGAGAGAGAGATTAAAATGACTTAAAATGACTAAGACTGAAATACCACAAGTTCAAGAGAGATAGAGACCATGAGGTGAAAGAACACTAAGATAGAGACAACATATCCTTACGAGATATAGAGAGAGAGAGAGGGCAAAATAGAGCGATCATGACAATAAGAAAGAGAGGACCACATAAAGAGGGAGGGGAGAGAGGAGAGAAATATTGTGACTTGGAGAGATAGAGATGGAAGGGGAGAGAGGAAGAGAGAAACACTAAGAGACACAATGTCGCCTTGAGAGTTAGAGAGAGAGAGAGAGAGACCATGTCCGTAATAAATAGATGATCACAATAAAGAAAGGGAAATAGTGGAGAAAATTTACATGGGTCGCCTTATATGGAGAAACTAAAATCCAAGTGAGAGACCTTTCTAGGTTGCTTCGTACCTGTTTCACAAAGAAATGTTTTGAGTTTCGCTGGACACTCTTTGCTCACTTCCATTTAGTTTCTTAGTTCCAAAACACTTCCTGAATTTTGTCTTTTGGTTTTTGTACCGCTTCATAGACACATCATGATGCTCCCTTGAATCACTTTTCAAATAAAATTTTAGCCCATACTTCATGCTTATGTTTCACGTACTGCTTCTCGCATTCTTTTCCCTCTCTGGTAACTATGGAAACATTGCCGTGTTCCAATCCCCTCCAAGCACCCAACTCAGGCATTTTACCTCCAAATTATTTTCTAGTTTCTACAAGCTATAGAGGAACTCCATTAGTGGTCTAAAACATCTCCCCCCTCCACAAGGGTGAACTCTTCCATCAGCATCACTGTACCATAGGTTTCAACACACGTCTCCCCAATTCCATGGAGCAGCAAAGCAGCATAACCTCGTCTCTGTTCTCCTATCTTCCAATCCTTATTTGCCCAAAAACAATCCCCTCCTGTTATTGTCATAACTCTTCTAGTCCCTACTCTCAGTTATTGTTACAAGCAACCTTATTGGGTTTGTCCAATTATTAGGTCCTTAGCTACCAAAAATATACGGAAATTGTGTAGGAGCAGGAGTGGGAGCCTGTATATTACAAAGAGACAATTTCATCAAGCATTACCCTGTACTTCACCAAAAGAGAATTAGTTTTGATAGAAGAAACTTTACTAGGTTGTTGAGGCTAAATTTCAGTGGTTCATTTCTCCTAACGTGTATGTCATGGATTCTAGTCAACAATACTTGATAAGAATCATACACAATGCATTTCAATTGAAACCCCAACCACCCTTCTACAGGAGTCAGGGACCGTATTAATTCAATGACTCAATTCTTTGTGATACTCAGTCCCAAATATTTATTACTAATTATTAGGATTTTTGGCATCCTTTAAAATTCAAGCATGCAGATTATTTGAGCCAGTAAAAGGATAACATTTTATCAAATATCAATCTCATTGCTCTTGGTTGTCACTATACCTTATCCCACACTGTTTGTATGCAATACATCTGTTCTACTTTGATGTATACACTGGTTTAATTTATGAGGTTGTATCAAATTATTTCTCGTTTTTGAGGTGGTATGTTATCCATTAGATATTGACCATAATATAAATTTCAATATCCTTCCTACTTTTAAATTTTAAAAAATTCATCATTAACAATAAAATTGAAGCCATTTGAATGTAATTCCTAGTTTTAAATTTTAAAAAATCATCATTAACAACAAAATTGAAGTTATTTGAATGTGATACCAAACTTCAAATATCAATGCACAAATGTGAAGAAAAGAAATAATCCTAGAGGCAAAAGATCCATAATCAAATTAAAATAATACATGAAATCACAATACCGTCCAGACTAGACAGAAGTTCCAGATAAAATGACTTTCTAAACTCGAAAATCAAAACAATTGATGATTTACTTTGATAATTTGCCACATGCAGTCTCTAAATAAATCATAGATTGTCATCATCCTGCTAAGCTACTACTAAATTAAAATAGAGAGAATGATGATCTCAAAATAATGACCATAGGAAAATCAAAGCACTAGAAGAACTTTATACAATATTACAAGGAATAAAATCAGGATAGGCATGAATGGAACTTGATAAAAAAAACCTTAATGAACCAACACCTACTACCAACCCCTAAACCATAGGAAACAAAAGGAAACTTGTCCCAATCAACTGCAAACATGATAATCCAAACTCTAGAAAAGCACATACATAACATAAATATGACAAAGAGCACAAATCAAATGATATGAGGGATTGCAACAAAATTAAATAGAGAATCCTTAAAGAATACCACGGAGAGAACGAATAGCACTGAACAAAGCCCTATTTCTGGAGAGGGGCAGAAAGCCTCGGGTCTGATACCCAAACTGTGAGCAAAATGGAAGGTTGAAGAAGATGTAAATGACTCTTTCAGAGAGCTCGCTTTTGAGTTCAGTGACTTTGAAACTGGTTTTGAGTTGCTGGAAACCATAGCAGAGGTGGCCGAGAGCATCATTTTCCAGCGAGAAATGGATGGAACCTGGCGATGTGTCGTCAGTCTCAGGCCATGGTTTAGAGAGAGTATAGCTGATGAAGACATTGGGAAAGTTCTGGCAAAAAAAATTACAAAATTGGTATTTGGAAATGACCATTATATCAATTTTTCTCATTTTCTCGCTTGTAAAATGAGAGTGAAAAGATGAGACAGAAAAGAGATCAAGAAATGAGTGAGTTTACACAAGTGAGTGATGCTATTGGTCTTGAGAGAGAGACCATGTTAGACCATAGGGTAAGTGGTCGCTAGTTTAAAGTTCTGACCAGTCACTAGCCAATATTTTCTTCACATCAAGGGCATATATATTCTGACTAACATCAGTTACAATTGCATAATACCAAGTTTTTCAATTCCAAAAGTTGGTAATTATCTCCTTTGTACCCATACACTGAAATGTTCTTCAGTTTATCTCCATATATTGCAAAGGTTTACCCCAACAATAGGCCTATGAGAAAAAAAGCCTTTTATTTTTTTTTATTATTTTTTTTTTTTACTTTTCCCCATGGATTCTCTCCTCCACCTTTTAAGAGAAACAATGGCTAGTTATTTTGTATTTTCTCTCACAGGTACTCAACAACCACATCACTTGTCCACTGGATCACCCTCTCTACATCCTGGAGTTTCTCAAACTAGTCAAGAAGCCACCATAATCTATTCTTATCAAGTTCTCACCATACCTCAAATGCAAAAAATGGAATTTTGGGCACCCAAAAGAAGACAGAGAAGAATTTAAAGCAGTATCAAGACCAGAAGAAAAAGAAGAAGATAATAGCAGAAGGATTGAGAGCATAACCCCTAACGAGGAATCATCTCATAACCAGTTTTCACCAAGTTTTTACCATTCCCCAAATGCCAAAAATGGAATTTGGGCACTCATATGGAAATGGAAGATAAAGAAAAAAAAATTGAAGTAGAAGAAGACAGCATTTGTAACTGTACCAAACCAATAGTCTAATCTGTGAGTGTACAAATTACAATCAGATATATTAGTGATATGAACTTGATGGTACAAACTTCCAATATGATGTCCAAACCTGTCTAATTAAGAAAAAATCATGTTGTCATTCTCTTCTGCACAAGTAGGACAAAGAAAGAAGAATAGCACTAGCATCCAACTATAAACCAAGCACAAGAAAGTCCATTAGAATGAAGAATAATCACATAATCACAAAGTGTAGAAGAAAAGCATGTACGCTGAATTTTCCCACATACACATCACGATGACCTCATCCTGTGCCTCTGAAACCTACTCTTCTTCGCCTTTTTGGCATCTTTCTCGTTCTTCTTCTTCTTAGGTGTTAGTTTCTCAAGGTCAAGCTTCACCCCCCGACGGGAGTAACTCTTGAAGCTCATGTTCCTATCAGAAGCCATCTGCCTAACTCTCTCTGTGATTTCAGCTGCAATTTGTCTATTATATAATTTCCTTAACCCTCTCATAAGCTTAGCAAATGTGTCAGCTTGTGGCATGATACCACCATCAAGCATCTCCAAACAATACCCGCATGCTTCTTTGACATGCCCATGATCAAACAATGAATGAATCCATATGGTATATGCATATACATTAAGATGGCATCCACCGCTCCTAATAGTATCCCAAATATCTTTCCCCATTTCTAGTTTCCCTGCTCTCATAAGACCATTGAGAAGCTCTTTAAAGGTTCCATACTGAGGAGTAGCCAAAAGGCCTCTTCCCACCATTTCTTTGAAGTATTTGCAGGCATCTATGAGAGAGTTGCCCTGCAAAAGCAACCCATGTATCATAATAGTAAAAGAATCAATCCCTGCACTAAACCCTTTGGCTTCCATTTCATTCCAGACATCAAAAGCTTCTTTAACCTGACCCAATTTACAGGCCAACCGTATCAGAGTGTTATATATGTTAGCATCAGGTTTGATTCCAGTCTTAGACATTTCTCTTACTAGTTCTAGGCATTCTTCAAGCTCTTCCTTCTTCTCATGAGCACCCAATATACACAGGTATGTCATTTGATTAGGGCGACAACCTTGCTTAACCATGCTCTCTAGGAGCTCATAAGCATTATCCAGCTTACCCACCTTGCAAAACCCACTTATAAGAGTAGTATAAGTTACAACATCAGCCAAGCATCCATTTCTTTTCATCTCCACAAAGAGCCGAAGGGCCTCTTCCATTCTTCCCTTTGAGCAAAGGGCTTGAATCAATATAGTGTATGATGTGGCATTAGGGGGGTAACCCTTATGCTTCATTTCAATTAAGAGATCATACCCATCTTCCATTTTCTCAGCAATTGCAAACCCACTTAACAGATTATTATACACCACAATATCAGGCTCGAAACCCGCTTCTTTCATTTGAACAAGGATATGCTTAGCCTCTATTATTTTCCCTTCTCGACACCACCCATATAACAAAGAGGTATAATGCTTCAAATTGGGTGAGAATTTATACTTCATATCCTCAAATAAAGAAGCAGCTTCTTTGACAGCATTGTTTTTACAAAGAGCATCTAGGAGGCAACCAAACGTATGCTCATCAGGTTCACACCCAAATTTAGGCATCTCATCCAAGACTTCAATAGCTTTTCCCACCATTCGAGAAGCTGCAAATCTCCTAAGCAAAATTACAAAGGTTTCAGGTGTTATATGCTCAGGATTATCCTTTCTCATTTCTTCAAGCAACGCCCAAACAGTCCCAAATTGCCTCATTTTCCCTAATTGCTTAATCATAAGCTTGTAACAATCATAACTGTGACAATAACCTGGTTGTTTTGACGACCAGATGAAGAACCGAAAACTCAAGTTTCCGGATTCACCACACCGTTTCAGTACTTTCTCGACTAGGGATGGACTAAGCACTATACCACCGTTTGTTAAAGCTAATTTTAATTGATGATCTTTATTATGAAACCTCTTCAATATGTTATAAATGTTTTCAACATTGGAAAAGGATTCACCTTGAGAGAGGGACTGCGCATAAATACCTGGCTTTTTGTCGGTGAGAAATGATTCCTTCTTGTGGGTTATGCTCTCAATCCTTCTACAAATGTCATCTTCTTCTCCCTCTATTTCAAATTCTTGTCCTTTATCTTCCTTATGAATACCCAAAATTCCACTTTTCGCATTTGGGGCATGGCAAAAACTTGGTGAAAACCGGTTATGAGATGATTCCTTTTTATGGGTTATGCTCTCAATCCTTCTACAAACAATTTCTTCTTCCTCTTCTACTGCTACCACTTCTTGAAATTCTTCTTTTTTCTCTTCTTTGTAGGCACCCAAAATTCCATGCTTTGAATTCGAGGCAAGGTGAAAATTTGATAAGAACTCATTATGGTGGGTTTCTTGGCTATTTTGAGAAACCCCAATACGAAGAGAGGGTGAGCCACTGGACAAGTGATGGGCTTGTTGAGTACCAATTAGCAAAATTACAGAAAGATCAAGCATCGTTTCTCCATATAAAGGTGGACAAGAGCTCTTGGGGAAAAGGAAAAGCGAGCATTTTTTGCAGGGGCGTATTGTTTGGGTTAACCTCTGCATTATACGGAAATACATTGAAGAATATTCAGTAATGGGGTACACAGTAGAGTAAGAAACCAACCTTTGAAATCGAAACCATGATGTTCTGTGACTGTAATCGATGCTAATCAGAATATATATGCCATTAATGTGAAGAAAATATGGCCCCAAACCATCGGCTGGTAATAAACTTAGCACTTTAAACTAGTAACCACTTACCCCATCGCCTTACACGGTCTCTTTCTGGACAAATAGCATCACCAATTGTGAATATAAAGTAGACCCAAAAACAGAAATTGGAGCATACCTGTAAAACGAGAGAGAGACCGGAGAGGAAGAGACAGAGGCGATGGCTTCAACCACTTTCCTTCATCCACTAAGTGTGCGTGTTTCTTACGGAGAGAGAAACAGAAGCAAGAGCTAAGGACTTAAGGAAAGTGAGAGGAAGAGCGAAACGATAAATAATAGGGTTGAAGACAGAGCGGGGGGAGGGGGCCGTAGTTCGACGAGTTAGGTCGAGACGATTATGGTTGAGAATCGAGAGCGAGACACTCCAGGGAAAAGCGTATTTTGCTGGTAAGCCGGGACACCCAAATCCCCACTGACTTGCACTTTGGAGGTCCATTTACCACTTCTATTTCTTTCCCTTTTTTTTTCTTTTTTTTGAGAAACTTTATTAAAAAAAATAAAAATTTGGATATCTTAAAGGAAAAGTTTATATAGAACCTGGGCTCTAACAATCTAATTAGAGCCTACCACTACCACTAAAAGATGTTTTCGTTTTGATTCCCAAATATCTTCAAATTGATCATCTCGACATCAAGGTGCATGGACATGAGAAAAAAATGGATTTCAAAATTTAAAAATAGTGCATCTTGTAACGCATTTTTTACTGTCAATTTTCAAGATTTAAGTTTTCATAAATTTGTTCAATCTACACTATTTTTGAAGCCTTAAATTTTATAATTAAAGATGAAAATATCTTTTAAAGTTATCACAAAGATTTTCAGTATTGAAACCACATTTCTCAATACTATTTGAAGATAGGCTTTACTTTGATTGTTTAGAGCCTCGCATCTAACAATTTATCTCCGGTATAAGGAGATCACAATTACTCATAACCGTATGGTGTGAAATCTAGTAGCTTAGGTATGTCACAAGTTCGAGAAATTTTCTTTTAAATTTTTTAGCATGACTAATGGAAAAAATGCAACCACCTAATTTCATATCTAATGGTCAAGATTAATTGTGACCTCATGTACCAAAGGTAAATAGCCTCGTTGTATAGGTTTTCTTTAGGGGTTAACCTCGCTGGAATTGATACCATCAATTGGTTTGGTCCCAACTGATTTTTTATTTGGATCAGTGTTTATGATCGAAAATTGCTGGGTTTTAAAGCATAAATTTAATAATTCAATTTTTGCTTAGATAGAGTGCATTTGAATTATGCTTACCTTCAAATTGTTTGTTAAGATGAAGATGTTGCATTCTAAATTAAGATTCCGAAAGTACTATAGTTATATTTTTTAAAATGAGTAAACGGACAGTATGCTCTTAGACACACATTAAATATATTTAGGAACCTACGCATGAAATGTATTTCGAAACGTTATAATTAGAAAGTTCTTGCTCAAAGCTTTCCTGCAGTAATGGTCTACCCTAAAGGGTATTTAAGTGCAATCTATTTTAATGATTTTAAAGTGTTTATATATTTGTTTGATCTACATGATTTTTAAAGCTTTAAGTTTCATAATAATGGGATGAATATATATTTTTAAGTCCTTGTGGCAATTTATGGCACCGAAACCTCATGTTGCGGTAAGGTTCGAAGGTGTGTCTTAGATTGTTTCATGTCCATGTCTTATATAAGCCCCACCGTAAAGTATGTATACGTGTGTAGTACATAAACCATGCACAATATTCTTTCGGATAATATCACTATAAACCAGTCAAGTCACTTGAAAAACATTAAAGTAGTTAAATCAACTAAGTTAGAAATGAAGCGGTTATTTATGAATTTCCTTTCATTATCCCCTTAAAGTTTTTGTTTAAAAAGCCTAAATAGATAGGAAAAAGTTTATATAAGGTTGCAACCTAGAATTAAAGATACACCTTGAAAATCCATCGAAAGATATTATTTTAATGTTAAAAACCTTCAAATTGATCATCTCAACATCAAGATGTATGAATATGAAAAAAAAAAAAAAAAGGTTTTGAGTTCAATAAATAGTGCATCTTTAAATACATTATCTAGACCATTAATTTTTAAGATGTTTATAGATCTACTTGATTTTAACCATATTTAGAGTTTAAATTTTGTATAATAGATGTGAAAATAGAATTTCAGATAATTCTAATAATTTTTTACACGAAAATTACATGTTGTAATAAAATTTGGAGGTGCACCTTATTTGGATTGTTTAAGGTTGCAACCTTATAGAAACCAAACCCTCAGTATATAGAACCTTCAATAACTAGGAGGCATTTAGTAATAGGACTGTATACCATGAAACCATTATCTTTTATAAAAGGTGGTCACAATTATTAATAGCTATTAGATATCAAATTTGATAGTTTGGGGTGTGACACAAAGTTCGAAAAAATAAATTTAATATTTGAATTCAATCAATAACACATTCACAACTGCCCGATTTGAAATCTGACGGGCAAGAGTGGTTGTGATTTCCGTGTATTAAAAGTAATTGGTCTATTTGTATGCTTTTCCTTCAATAATTTAGCCAAGGACTAGCTTAGAAATTGGATAGGGGGAACAAAATAACTTTCTAAGTGAAAAATAAAAAATTTGATCCTTTATTTTTCTTTTGAGAATTTCTCAACCCAAATGAAACAAATTTATGCATTCAAGGAAAAAAATAGAGCACATATTTTTATATTGGAAATGTTTATAATGAGACAGTTAGTTTTGAAATCAAGTGGTTGACGATGTAATATTGTTTAGACACAAAACCCAAAACAAAATTTATCGAATGTTGTAACTCACTTTAATCTATTGAATTTTACATTCAATGATTAAAAGTAATTGTGACCCCTTTACAATAAAAACAATACGTTCTAATCTCGTAGTATACCATACGTTTTATATTTAGATATCGTATAGATTTTCCAAACAAAAGCAATAAGGGTCATTTACATCATTTAGCTCGTGCATGAGTAGAATGACAAATGAACCCTCTCTTATTCAAGATTAGGAAACCAAAACACTCAACATCTAAATCTGATTCTCCCCAAATGAAATAATGGTCACTTTTGTAAGCCAAATCCAATATCTTTTTAATGAGAGTGATATTAAAAAGTGCGAATGACAAGAAGGAATAAAAAGTAGGGGATGGAGCCCATAAGGAACATCTATAGAAAAGGACTTGTGCGAATACTAGAGAAGAAAATCATATAAAGAAGCGACAATGAGTGAATAAACGTCGTTAAGTATACAATACACACAACTAAGGCAGTTAATCACATTGCAATATTTTATCTTGATTTTAACACATAGTTTGACCTTAGTTGTCTTGTAGTGGATGGCTATTTGGTACGTCCTGCATTTAGTTGTTGTGCGGACTTTGACATCTATACTATTTAATTATTTAGAACGATGCATATCATTATTTGAGGCGAATATGCACTTTTCAAATAAAACGGCTAGCATAGAAAGAGACGAAGTTTGAAGCGAATCTGCACTTTCCAAATAAAATGGCTAGCATAGAGAGAGACAAGCACGCATCATTGCATCAAGGACTACATAAAAAACTGATGCACTATTGTGAAAGCCTATTTATTCAGGGGACTAGCAATAATTGTACGGAATCTTATTTAGCTTAGAGAAAAATGAGAATAAGAAGTAACATGGTGTTTCATGTCCTTACGACAAAGGTACACTCCCTCAAGTTACAGGTAGTGCAAGAAATTGGGTTAGTTTCATTTCAATACCACTCTCAAATCTCAAAAGAAATATAAAAGCACCATTCATTTAAAATGCCATCCATGCCATTCATCATTGATTTAGAGTGCGATAACGTGCTTTTTTCTGTTGTTTTAGGTGGGTAAAGTGGGAGTCAAAAGAAGGTACAGTAAAATTCAGCCTAATTTGCTTCCATGTATATTAAATGATGATCAAGCTAAGTGGGCTCAAGGATAGGTAATCAAGATGATAAGGCACCGCAATATGATGTTTTGAGTTTCATTTCTAAATAAATAACCCTTCTGCTTTGAACTACCGAAAAAAATGATAATCAAATTCATGTTAAGCACAATAAGGCCGCTTCATTAGGTAATTTCCCAAAGAATTATGTGTTTGGAGGAGCCTATCCTCCATTCACTCCCTCATCGGAATTCTATGTAGGAGTTTCTTTAGAAGTCAAAATTCTAACCTCCTCAACCAACCGACTAATCCCAAATATAGAACAAAAACAAAAAATCATGTATGCTTAAATTATGCCTGAAAAATAAACAATATCTTGAAATTGAACTAGGACCACCCGATATTCAATTGTGAGATCTAAGTATTTAGGAAATCAAAATCCTACTTCAAAAAAAAATGAATGCTCATCTAGTGGTTTTAGAGTGGATCCCAAACTTTTAGTTTGAAGAAAATCTTCCTAAATAGCTCTTTTGCCTGAGGGAGTAAGTATATAATATATTTCAATGGAGTACATTATATGGGCTCATATTATTCTTGAATACTTTGTTGTATCTAACTCATATGAAATCAGTGTTTTAAAACCTGGATCATTGGGTGGATTGTTCATTCACAATACGTGTCAAGTCATTGGATAAGTGATCCTAAATGGATTTCGATCAGTATGGATAGAAAATATTCATGAATAAATAAAATAAGTTAAAATTTGAAATATGAGTTTATGTGGTGGGGACATTGATGAAACCTAAGAAAAACATTATATATATATATATATATATATATATATATAGTAGGGG